AACTGCTTTGCTGATCACTCTACCTACCCTTTCATCTTTTCTTTAATCCTAATCACATTCACTGTATCTTATACCCCTTTCTCTTTCTCAAAAATTAATGAATCTTCTTACCTATCTATGTATCTTATAAAGTATTTTACTTTTATCTTAATTCTCACACTGTATTTTCACTTGCATATGAACTGCATTATATAAACCAATAAATCAAGATGTTGCATATTATTATCAAGGGAGAGATCGACAACAATACAATCATAGTGGGGGACTTTAATACATCACTGACATCACTTGATAAATCCTCTAGACAAAAAATCAGCAAAGAAACAGCAATCCTAAATGACTCACTAGATCAGATGGACTTAATTGACATCTTTGGAACATTTCACCTCAAAGCCACAGAATATACATTCTTCTCAAGTGCTCATAGGACACATTAAAAAATAGACCACATATTGGGTCACAAAGAAAGTCTCCCCAAATTCAAGAAGACTGAAATCATACCAAGCATCTTCTCAGACCACAATGGCATAATATTAGAAATAAACTACAATAAAAACAATCCTAAACACTCTAACACTTGGAAGCTGAATAGCATGTTATTAAATATTGATTGGGTTACCAATGAGATCAAAGAAGAAATGAAAAACATCCTGGAAACTAATGACAATGAAACCACAACAATCCAAAACCTATGGGATACAATGAAAGCAGTCCTGAGAGGAAAGTTTATAGCTCTACAGGCCTACCTCAAAAAAGAAAAAGAAAAAAAGAAAAAATGGTAGTAAATCATATAACTCTACATCTCAAAGAATTAGAAAGAGAGCAACAAGAAAACCCCAGAGTGAGCAGAAGGAAGAAGATAATAAAGATTAGAGCAGAAATAAATGACATAGAGACCAAAAAAACAATACATAAGATCAATGAAACCAAGAGCTGGTTCTTTGAAAGGATAAACAAAATTGATGAACCTCTAGCCAGGCTCACCAAAAAGCAAAGAGAGAGGACCCAAATAAACAAAATCAGAAATGATAGAGGCGAAATAACAACAGACTCCACAGAAATACAAATGACTGTTAAAAAATACTGTGAACAACTCTACTCCAACAAACTAGACAACCTGGAGGAAATGGACATATTCCTAGAAAAACACAACCTTCCAAAACTCAATCAGGAAGAATCTAAAAATCTCAATAGGCCAATAACTATGGAAGAAATTGAAGCAGTAATCAAAAAGCTTCCAGCAAACAAAAGCCCAGGACCAGACGGCTTCACAGGGGAGTTTTACCAAACATTCAAAGAAGAACTAAAACCTATCCTCCTCAGACTATTCCAAAAAATTCAAGAGGAAGGAACAGTTCCAAGCTCATTCTATGAAGCCAGCATCACCCTCATACCAAAACCAGATAAAGACAACACAATGAAAGAGAATTACAGGCCAATATCCCTCATGAACATAGATGCCAAAATCCTCAACAAAATCTTAGCAAATCAGATCCAGCAGTACATCAGAAAGATCATACGCCATGACCAAGTAGGATCTATCCCAGGGATGCAAGGATGGTACAATATCCGCAAATCAATAAACATGATACATCACATAAACAAATTGAGAGAAAAAAAACACATAGTCCTATGAATTAATACCGAAAAAGCATTTGACAAAATCCAACACCCATTTCTGATAAAAACTCAGCAAGGTGGGAATAGAAGGATCATACCTCAACATAATAAAAGCCATATATGACAAACCCACAGCCAACATCATACTCAATGGGCAAAAACTAAAACCATTTCCCTTAAGAACAGGAACAAGACAGGGATGCCCACTCTCACCACTCCTGTTCGACATAGTACTGGAAGTACTAGCCATTGCAATTAGACAAGAAGAAGAAATAAAAGGCATCCAAATTGGAAAAGAAGAAGTAAAACTGTCTTTATTTGCAGATGACATGACATTGTACATAAAAAACCCTAAAGACTCCATCAAAAACTGTTAGACTTAATAAATGAATTTGGCAATGTAGCAGGATACAAAATTAACGCCAAGAAATCCATGGCATTTCTATACACCAATAGTGAATTTACAGAAAGAGAGACTAAAAAAAGCAATCCCATTTACCATCGCACCAAAAAAATTAAGCTACCTAGGAATAAACTTAACTAAAGAGGTAAAAGACCTCTACTCAGAAAACTACAGGACGTTGAAAAAAGAGATAGAGGAAGACATAAACAGATGGAAGAACATACCATGTTCATGGATTGGTAGAATCAACATCATTAAAATGTCCATACTACTCAAAGCAATCTATAAATTCAACACACTTCCCATTAAAATACCAATGGCATATTTCACAGACCTAGAACGAACTCTCCAAAAATTCATCTGGAATAAAAAAAGACCCTGAATAGCTGCAGCGATCCTGAGAAAGAAGAACAAAGTAGGTGGGATCTCAATACCTGATATCAAGCTGTATTACAAAGCCACTGTTCTCAAAACTGCCTGGTACTGGCACAAGAACAAACATATATATTACTGCCCTGACTGGTTTGGCTCAGCAGATAGAGCGTCGGCCTGCGGACTGAAAGGTCCCAGGGTCGATTCCCGATCAAGGGCATGTACCTTGGTTGTGGGCACATCCCCAGTAGAGGGTGTGCAGGAGGCAGCTAATCGATGTTTCTCTCTCGTCTATGTTTCTGACTCTCTCTCTCTCTTCCTCTCTGTAAGAAATCAATAAATACATTAAAAAAAAAAAAGAACAGACATATAGATCAATGGAATAGAATAGAGAGCCCAGAAATCGACCCGAACCAATATGCGCAATTAATATTTCACAAAGGAGGCAAGAACATACAATGGAGTCAAGACAGTCTCTTCAATAAATGGGGTTGGGAAAATTGGACAGATACATGAAAAAAAATGAAACTAGACCACCAACTTACACCATACACAAAAATAAACTCAAAATGAGTAAAGGACTTAAATGTAAGATGGGAAACCATAAAAATCCTACAAGACTCCATAGGTAACAAAATCTCAGATATATGCCAAAGCAATTTCTTCACTGATATTGCTCCTAGGGCATTGGAAACTAAAGAGAAAATAAACAAATGGGACTAAATCAAAATAAAAAGCTTCTGCACAGCAAGAGAAACCATCAACAAAACAACAAGAAAGCCCACTGCATGGGAGGACATATTTGCCAAAGTTATCACCGATAAGGGTTTAATCTCCAACATTTATAGGAAACTCATACAACTTAACAAAAGGAAGATAAACAATCCAACAAAAATGGGCAAAGGACCTAAATAGACACTTTTCAAAAGAGGACATTCAGAAAGCCAAGAGACATATGAAAACATGCTCAAAGTCACTAACTATCTGAGAGATGCAAATCAAAACAACAATGAGGTACCATCTCACACCTATCAGAATGGCTATCATCAACAAGTCAACAAACGACAAGTGCTGGAGAGTTTGCGGAGAAAAGGGAACCCTCGTGCACTGCTGGTGGGAATGCAGACTGGTGCAGCCCCTAGGGAAGACAGTATGGAGTTTCCTCAAAAAGTTAAAAGTGGAACTCCCATTTGACCCAGTGATCCCACTTCTAGGAATATATCCCAAGAAACCAGAAACACCAATCAGAAAGGATATATGCACCCCTATGTTCATAGCAGCACAATTTACCATAGCGAAGATGTGGAAACAGCCTAAGTGCCCATCAGCAGATGAATGGATTAGAAAACTGTGGTATATCTACACAATGGAATACTATGCTGCTGTAAAAAAGAAGGAATTCTTACCATTTGCAACAGCATGGATGGAACTGGAGAGCATTATGTTAAGTGAAATAAGCCAGTCAATGAAAGAAAAATACCAAGATCTCACTCATTTATGGATAATAAAGACCATTATAAACTGATGAACAAAAAATATATACAGAGGCAGAGCAGCATTGAACAGACTGTCAAACTACAGCGGGAAGGCCGGGGAGGGTTGAGGGGCGGAAGGGGGAGGGTAAGATATCAACTGAAGGACTTGTATGCATGCATATAAGCATAACCAATGGACACAAGACACTGGGAGGTAGGGGAGGCCAGGGGAATGTCAAGGGGGCGGGGGAGGAAAGATATGTAATACTCTTTGTAATACTTTAAGCAATAAAAAAAGAAAAAAAAAGAAAGACAGTTCAGAAAAAAAGATGTTGCATATTAATATGAGGGGAAAGCATTTTGTACATTAAACTGATGACATATCCGCCGAAACTGGTTTGGCTCAGTGGATAGAGCGTCGGCCTGCAGACTGAAAGGTCCCATGTTTGGTTCCGGTCAAGGGCATGTACCTGGGTTGCGGGCACATCCCCAGTAGGAGATGTGCAGGAGGCAGCTGATCGATGTTTCTCTCTCATCGATGTTTCTAACTCTCTATCTCTCTCCCTTCCTCTCTGTAAAAAAATCAATAAAATATATAAAAAAAAATAAAAATAAAAAATAAACTGATGACATATAGATACTGACTTATGAAGTTGAATTTGTATATCAGTATATAATATGAAATAGGAATGAATTTTAGAAATGTGTACATGGTTTCTATAATTTATTTTCAGTGTGACAGTCATCTTACTTAGTTCTCCTCTGCTACCTAATGTTTCCAAACTGTCTAGTCATCTCATGGGTCCCTTCCTGAAAAATATTTTTAAAAACTCTACCTTTCACTACCTTACTGACTACCACAGTGCTATAGTATCTGCAGAAATATTTAAGTGTATGCACTAAAAGTTCAAAACATATTGAGTCAATAAAGTAATGGAGATTTCTCTTTGGTGAGGGGAGCACCAAGAACTCTCAGAGACAAGTAAGTACATTTGCAAATATATAAAATTTTAAAACATTGCAAAAATAAAATCTTGTATCAAATACCCTAATTTCCAAGAATATTTCAAGTGAAACAATTTGGGGCATTATTATTTACAAGAAGGAAATTGAACAGGAAAAGGTCTTACGGTGATGATTCCAGAATGATGCTGTTAGCTTGTGTTGAAGATGGAGATCTGTGATTCACAAATACTTCGCTTGGGGAAGTGTGAACCACACGGTCTACCAAATGACCAACTGAAGATGGTCGTAACCGGGGTCCCTCTTGTGTGAATGCAGAATTTCGACTACACAAAGAGGAAGAAAACTGAGTGAAAATGTGCTTAATTCAATTTTTAAAATGTTATTTACATGATTCCTTCAAAAAATGGGTGTGTACTTTAAAGACTAACCACATCAACTACTCAGAGTCTCTGACAAAAACAGTGTGACATAAACAGAAAGAACACAGAATAAGAAGTCAAAAACTGAGCTAGAGATAATCATCTACCACAAGGATTTTACCTATTTAGTCATCTATTATCTCTACCAACCTCAATGTTTCTAGGTTTTAGTTACTACAACTTTGTCTTAATCAATACTTATAAAATAAAGGGATAGAATAAATGATTCAGAAATATCTTCTTGCCTGAATTATTTTTGTCATTGTATATTGCATTGTGCACCCACCATCCACAGTCTAATAATAGTCTTCCATCACCATATATTTGGCTCCCTTTTCCTCCCTTCCCTCTGGTAACCACCATACTGTTGTTTGTGTCAATGAGTTTCAGTTTTATATCCCACATCTGAATGAAATCATATGGTTCATAGCTTTCTCTGATTGACTGATTTCACTTAGCATGTTCTTTTTGAATTCTTATGAATTTTTTTATTTATGGGACTTGATTTACTTCCTACGAATAAATACTGAATAACATATTTTTATCCTCATACATGACATAGTCACATGAATTACTATCATTACTACTATTAATTATGCAAGTTAACATTTGAGTACTTATTGTGTGCATTTTGTGCTAGGCATTATTCTAAGCACTTTACTTACAGCATCTCATTTAGTTACAGCATCTCAAACAATAGTATAAGACACTATTATTATAAATATAATTTTATAGATAAAGGACATGGGACAAAGATTAATTAATTTGCTCAAAATTCCAACGTACAGTGACACTAGGACCCATGCTCTTAACCACTATACTGTACTGTCTCTTTAAAATTTAGAAAAAAAGCCAATCTTTTCAGATCATACCTAAAATTGTTTCATTATCAGAGCTACTGCTAATTAATTCAATCATCTAGTTTAAATATCTTGTTCCTGATCACAAATGGATAAATGGCTGGCTGGAAAAGAGCCCAGAAAAATAAATTTCTGGATATTCTTCTAACAAGTTAATTAGCCTTTGAATACAATCTCTTTTAAAGAAAGATGATTTAGCAACCTGCAATTAGCAAGACAGAAACTTTTTAGTCTATTTTTTCTAGTAGTAAGAAAGACATCTAGGTATTAGGTATCATTCTGTGAACCAAACTTTTGATGTATACTTTACTGGCAATATGGTAGAAGTGTATTCTTTGGCTCATAAACATCTACCAGTGACACAATTTTAATGTAGTGTACACTTATTGGATATTAATGTGTATGAGATATTTTTAAAGAAAGACTTGTTCAAATATTGTATTCCATAACAAAATTCAAATATTTTGACTATCAACCTATGGGTTAACAAGGTCTGTCAATGTACTGACTCACATCTGTTTATTAGTACCTTAATTACATATATATATATATTACAACACATTTGTTGGCATTATAAAATGAAGATAACATCTTTGGCTAGTACAAGTTGGTGTTATTATTATTATCTACACAAAAGTATACAGCCTTTGTGAGAAATCCTAGAGTGTAACTCATAAACAGAAAGTGCTGAAAAACACTGCTTCTTAGCATAGCTATGGCCAAGCTTGTGGGAACTGATGTTGGAAACCCCTCTTTCTAGACCAGTGATGGCGAACCTTTTGAGCTCGGAGTGTCAACATTTTGAAAAACCCGAACTTAACTCTGGTGCCGTGTCACATATAGAAATTTTTTGATATTTGCAACCATAGTAAAACAAAGACTTATATTTTTGATATTTATTTTATATATTTAAATGCCATTTAACAAAGAAAAATCAACCAAAAAAATGAGTTCGCGTGTCAAAGGTGTCATAGGTTCGCCATCACTGTTCTAGACCATAGAAAATGGTAGAGCAGTGGCTGGAGTAGGAGCTTAAGTAAGAGAATCATAATCACTTAGAATTTTCAGACAACATATGCTCCTTCAGAAATTCTATTGGAGATCCACATGGAAAAGGATTATGTCAACAACAACCATATTCTCATATTTTAAGTCTAGCAGCAGATTTTGATTTATTGGTTAGGGACCCCTCCTTTAAAAGTTGACTGTGTAAGAAAGTGACTTCCTTGCTGAATGCTCTACTACCTCATCTAATGGGAGGCTGTTATTCCATGCCACTTACACAATGCTAGAGGTTCAGAGAAAGGCTAAGAGGAAATAATGATCTACACTAATAAAAGAGAAAAATGGTAATTGGCGTACGGCGATACCGTTTTCATTGGCTAATCAGGGCTATATGCAAATTAACTGCCAACTAAGATTGGCAGTTAACTGCCAACAAGATGGCGGCTAATTTGCATATGTAGGCACAATGCAGGGAGGCGAAAGGGAAAGCAGGAAGAAGCCCCCTGCCACTGACAGTGATCAGAAACCCAGGGGGGAGCTAAGAGCTGGGGGGCAGGGCAAAGGCGGCCCTGGGGCCATGACCGGAGAATCAGTCGCCTTTGCCGCCCTGGCCAGTGATAGCAGGAAGTAGGGGTGGAGCCAGCGATGGGAGCTGGGCATGGTCGAAGCTGGCAGTCCCAGGAGCTAGGGGTCCTTTGCCTGGGCCTAAAGCAAAGCCCACGATCGCGGCGCCCCCCGCTGCCACTGCAGGTCCCCGCTGCCTGGGCCGGACGCCTAGGCCAGAGGCGTTAGGCCTGGGCAGGGGCGGAGCCTGCAACCGCGGGGAGCTGGGGGTCCCCTGCCCAGGCCTGACACCTCTGCCGGAGGCCTCAGGCCTGGTCAAGGGGCCGATCCTGTGATTGGTGATCGGAGGGTGATGAGGGTCAACTCCTCTGGCTGAGGCATCAGGCCTGGGTGGGGGGCGGAGCCGGGGATTGGGGGGATATGATGGTCCCCTTGCCCAGGCCTGAAGCCTGGGTCAGAGGCGTCAGGCTTGGGCGGGGGGTGGAGCAAGCGATCAGAGGGAGATGGGGGTCCCCTGCCCAGGCATGATTCCTGGGCCAGAAGCCTCAGGCCTGGGCGGGGGCCAGAGCCAGTGATCGGGGGGAGATGGGGGTCCCCTGTCCAAGCCTGACACCTCCGGCGGAGGCGTCAGGCCTGGGCAAGGGGCCGATCAGGCGATCAGAGGGTGATGGGGGTCAACGCCTGAGGGCTCCCAGTATGTGAGAGGGGGGCAGGCTGGGCTGAGGGACACCCCCCCCCCCACACACACACCCAGTGCATGAATTTCGTGCACTGGGCCCCTAGTCTGCAATAACAAAAATCATATCTAACCAAAGTTTAAATAAGAAAGATTTACATATTTTGATCTTCAAGTAATGGACATATACAGTCAATAATTTAGAAATGAGCAAAATGAACACCTGATGTGTGTGAGTCTGCACTTACTGATTAGGCGTCCCAGGCGGAGATCGTGATGGAAGGCTTTGTGTTTCCAACCTGTCATCAGATACTGAATTTCTGCTTACTACTTCCCAATCCATTAATTTTCGTGCCAAGGGTTTACTTGGGGATCTGCCGAAATAATTTCGTATGTAACAATTTTTAATTTTATGCACCAAACTATAAGCCAAAACTTAGAATTTATATTAACATATCACATTCTAGATGAGTAAACATAGTTTACTTTTCAGAAATTACTGCAGTCGGAGGCTATTTACCAAATACTTTCCTAAGAAAGAAAATCTGCTTTATATTAAGGAAGAAAAGATAAGCTAGAAAAAGTAGGAGGGAAAATAGGGAAAAGGAGAAAAAGAAAAGAAACCAGAAAAAAAGGAGAAAAGGAAAAAGCAAGGGAATAGATGGCTACCAAAAATTTTCTCAAATATCAATATTGTAGATATTGTCTCTTCCTATTCCAGAGTCTCTGAAACCGTTGGACGTATTAAATAATTCCTAGCGTATTATCTCCTGAATGCCCTTAAATCTAAACCCTGATCCTCTGCCTCAGTGAGGACAGGGCAAAAATGAAAGCTATGTATCGTACATTTTATTTGAATTTTTTTCCTTCTAATATGTAGTATGCCAGTGGATATTTTTCTTTCTTTCAATTATAAAGGCAGTGTTTATTAAAATCCCTTTCCCTTTCCCTTTCCTTTCCTTTTTAAATTCTTTATTGCTGAAAGTATTACACATGTCTCCTTCCCCCCTCATTGACCTCTCCCCGCCCATTTAGAAGGTTAACTATTCTGTCTCATGGTGGGAAATAAAAGAATATGTTTTGTTACCTATTTATATATTGTCAGCTATCACCTTTTCAGAAAAGATACTGATCTTTGCAGAGATTAAACATCTTCAGAATTTTAGGTAAGTTAACAACTAAAGTCTTTTTTGTATGCAAATTCAAATAGTAGAGAAAATTCATGGAAAATATATGACATCTATTTAAATTTTAGTTTTTTGATATGCAGAGCTAGTATGGAGGCTAATATTATGAATTAAACTACGTGTATAAAAACAAACAACAAATTATCTTATAAATGATAGTTTTATATTTAAGAAATTCACTGAAAATAAATAAATAAATAAATAAATTCACTGAAGAACAGAGAGAAAGAATGGGCTAAAAAAAAGCATGGTAACAATAACCAAGAGTACTCAATAAAATTTATGTACAAACCAGGAAGCACATTTGGACTTATATTTACTTTCTTAGTGTATTCTAATCTCTCCTCTGTTCGCCTGTTTATTTTCTACAATATTTTACTAGTCTTATTCTTTTAAAGTTACTATATTATTTGTCTTGTATTTTATTTCTACATATTTTAAATCCCAGAAGATAGTATTGGGTTGGTATTCTTTTATATTTATTTACATATTTTCCCATTACATTAGTCTTTATTCTTTTCTGCATTTCCACGTATTCTCTCTTGAATTATTTTCTTTTGTAGAAAATGTTTTCTTCTGCCAAAAACATTTTCTTCTGCAACCCCCCCCAAATAAACAGCAACCCCCCCCCCCCCACACACAAAAAACCATGATGGGTGGGGACCCAAAATCCCAATTCTGACCTTACAACTTGTATCTATGTTATTAGTACGCTATATAATCTTAAGGTCCTTCACTACTTCCTGAATTTTATAATATATCTAAGTTTTCAGTGCAATGTTTTAGTCTATTAATTTTACTAAACCATGAGTAACAAATTATTTGTGAATCCAAACCACACAAATGCCTATCATTTCATATATTTATTGCCAAAGCCTTTTTAGTTTGGCCTATTGGCCTAATGACATCTCCTTAATATAAGAACATTTAACATTTGCTAGGAGAAGTAAATGTTATCAATTAAAAAATAAAAAAGGATGTTGACTCAGATTTCATTTTTTCATAAGTGAATTTGAAGTTTTTAAAGCATGAACTTTAGCATCTAAGGCTCTCTTATAAATGCTAATTCTTAATGTTAAACTACTAAATGTAAGCTGTAAGAGAATTTACTAACTATAGTTAGGAGATCAACTACTTTCATTTTCTAAGAGAGGAAAAAAAGTCATTTGAAGGTGGAAAAAATCCAGTTATACTCACCTAGTATAAAGCGTCAGAACACGACTGTTGTTAATAAACTAAACATGGTTATAAATGCTTTGCATTTAAAACTAAATTTCAAGTATTTTATTAACAGTTTTAACCTCAGAGACCCACCCACTCAGGCTTGCTGTCTATGTTTCCTGTTAAGTGTGGAAATTTCAGAGAAAAAAATACCACACATCATCAGTGTGTTTGCAATGTGGTAAATTCATATTCTGACCATGGCACCTCTATTTTATGTTGCATGAGAACATTCTTTTGCTTTCTTAGATATTATATGACAATTGAAAGTGTAAAAGCAATTCAAAAAGTTGATATAAGTAAAACACAGTTAATTTATTTATTATTGCTAAATAAAAATCAACCTTACATGAAAAGTCTAAGGAGAAATCAGTTCTATTTATACTGCTAACTCTAGAATTCTCTAATACTTTAAAAGAATGGGTGAATTTAATAACTGCTAAAACCATTTGAGTATTTTTGGTAGATGTGCATCAGGTCACCACAACAAGATTCTGATATATTATAAAAACCACTCCAGAAAAGCTTAATCTTTCAGAGTTAGCAGTAGTATTAACACTTTGTCCCAGGTGATGACCTATTACTTCAAAGAGGATTCATACAATTCTGGAATGACAAAAGAAATAGGACGGCTATTTGGGGTTTATGGTATTGGAATTTTAGCTATACTATTCACTGAATGATGTATATCTGATTTATAAAATCACCTATTAAACAATTTCACATTTTAATAATGCATATACAAAATGAAGAACTAAGACTCAGGTGTAACTGCATATTTCTAGAAATCTGATATGATCAAAATATTAAAACACTAGAGGCCCGGTGCACAAAAATTTGTGCACTGGTGGTGGGGGGGGAGGGTGTCCCTCAGCCCCACTTGTGCCCTCTCACAGTCTGGGACCCCCTCGGGAGATAACGACCTGCTGGCTTTGGCCCACTCCTGGGTGGCAGAGGGCAGGCCCAATCCCTAGGTGCAGCCCCTGGTCAGGCTCAGAGCAGGGCTGATTGGGGAGTTGAGGCGTCGCCCCCTGTCATGCACAAAGCAGGGTGGATCGGGAGGTTGTGATGCCACCCCCAGTCACGGTCAGGGTAGGGCCAATTGGGGTGTTAGGGCGCCGCCCCCTGTAACACTCAAGGCAGGGTCGATGGGGAGGTTGGGGCGCCACCCCATCATGCACAGAGCAGGGCCGATGAGAGGGTTGGGGCTCCATACCCTGTCACCCACAGAGCAGGGCCGATCAGGGAGTTGGGGCACTCCGCCATCACACTCGGGGCAGGGCCGATGGGGAGGTTGCGGCTCCACCCCGTCACATGGGTGGAGGGCTCCACCCCATCACAGAGCAGGGCCCATGGGGGTGTTGGGGCGCTGCACCCTGTAACACACAGAGCAGGGCTGATCAGGGGATTGGGGAGCTCCCCCCTATCAGGCACAGAGCAGGGCCAATCAGGGGGTTGGGGCGCCTTCCCCTGTCACGAACAGAGCAGGGCGGATAGGGAAGTCATGGCACCGCCCCGTCACAAACAGAGCCGCAGGGTGACCAGGGGCTTGGGCGCTACGCCTGTCACACTGCTCCAGGGGCCAGGAGGCCTCGCGTCTCCGCTGATCCCGGTGCTGGGAGGCCTCGCGGCTCCGCATGACACGGGCAGTGAGGCCTCGCTGCTCCGCTGATCCTGGTGCCAGGAGGCCTCGCAGCTCCGCTGACCCCAGTGCTGGGAGGCCTCAAGGCTCTGCTGATCCCGGGTTCAGGAGGCCTCACGGCTTCCCTGATCCCGGTGCTGAGAGGCATATTAACCTTTTACTATATAGGATAGAGGCCTCCTGTACGGGTGGGAGCTGGCTGGTTTGCCCTGAAGGGTGTCCTGGATCAGGGTGGGGGTCCCGCTTGGGTGCCTGGCCAGCCTGGATGAGGGGATGATAGCTGTTTGCAGCTGGTCACACCCCCTTCAGGGTGGGGGTCCCCACTGGGGTGCCTGGCCAGTCTGGGTAGGGGCTAAGGGCTGTTTTCAGGCTGGCGGGTGACTGAAGCTCCCAACTTCTTTTTTTTTGTTTTTTTATTCTGGGATTTATTTACCTTCTAAGACTGTCCCTGGAACTGAGAGCCGGCTTTAGCTCGGAGGCCTCGGCTGCTGAAAGCAGGTATCTGGTTTGTTTGGGTTCTATAATTGAAACACTGTTGCAACACCAGCTCGGCCCGGCTAGCGAAAGCGTGGGAACTGTTTAGTTTCTATAATTGCAACATTGTTTCTTAGAGTGCAAGCTCAGAGCCCAGCAGCGGCAGGTGGGGAACCTTGGATTCCTCCATCACTGGAGCAAGCAAGCCTCCTGTTTGCTTCAGCTGCCTGGCTGCCGGCCGCCATCTTGGTTGACAGTTAATTTGCATATCGCCCTGATTAGCCAATGGGAAGCGTGTCGGAGGTACGGTTAATTAACATGTTCGTCTATTATTAGATAGGACTAATAGCACGGTGCACGAAATTCGTGTACTGGGGAGGGTCGGGGGGGGGGTAAGGGCCCCTCATTCTGGCCTTCACCCTCTCCAATCTGAGACCCCTCAGGGAATGTCCAACTACCTGTTTGTGCCCACACTTCTAACAGATAACAGCTCCATTGTTGTTTCTTTCTTATGCTTAAAACCATTGGAATTAGTAGGTATTCAAAGTGTGTATACATTTTGGGGGGACACCCTGTGTATCTCTAGTCAGCGGTGAAAGAAACCAACAGCAGATCTGGAACCCCCAGACAGGGAACCTCACTCACTCCCCACATGTCTCCCCACTTCACTTTCCACCTTCGTGGGCAGCAGGAGAATCAACGTTTTCTCTCATTAATTTGGAAAAGCACATCCTGTCACCTGCTGCCTGGCAGGAGTGCGCTAGTACCCAAGCAAGCGAGGCTCAGTCAGGGCAGCCTTTGCTCATGGGTGCTGGCACCCAAAGTGCACATTCCTCCTCTACAGTTGCCC